AGAATTGGGGATTTTCGAAACTGGATGAATTGGGAATAGGGTTTTCGAAACTTGGTCCAATTTTGAATTTCAAAACACATAACAGACCCAAATAATCGATTATATTAAGTGTTAATCGATTATTCCAGAGCCATTCTTGCAGAGGAGCAAAACAACACCAGTTAATCGATTAACAGGCCATTTTATCGATTATCTACCCGAGTTAATCGATTATCCTGGCAGTTAATCGATTATTCCAGTGAGTTATATTTGAAAATGATTTTCTTTCTGTAATAATCGATTATCCTACCAGTTAATCGATTATTCCAATGTATTTTTGATAAAATGAGTTTTTAGAGCTTTTAAAGAGTGATCTATGTGCTGACTATTTTGGACTCTAATATTACAGACTCAAAAACATAAAAATAGAGTTATTACATAAGATTACAAGTCTTCAAATCTCTAAGTCCTTTGTTCTTGAATCATCATCAAAATCTTCAAGCTTCATATCCTTGTATGATCAACATTCACATCCTTGTATGTTCAAGAAGTCTATATTCCTGTATAAAATAAGGATAATAGTCAAGTGTAGTAAGAAAATACAAGTTTAGGATAATCTCAAATTATCATGATAAAAGCTCAATGTAAAGAATATGAATTTCATTAAGAACTCATCCTCTATTTGTTTTTAGTTTCCGTACAATTGTATATAATTATAAATATATATAATTTATATCATTTTACTAGTTGATCAAAGTTATTCAAATAATAGAGACATGGTATAATAATTAAAGACACAATCGTTAACAAAGCAATCAACATCATAATTTTATAATAATAACATTGTATACAAAAGATAAGAATGTGAATCAGATCACAAAGATCATAACTTATTGTTCAAGTTTCAGGTATAAAATATATAGGTACTTCATATTTGAATTTATTAGAGGAAGCTTTTAAAATAATCAGAAGATAAAATTCTATGAACATTACCTGAGTTCAATAATGTTTTCCGAAAGGACAAGATTTGCCTTGAGTAAATTTCCAATTTCATTTCTTTCAATTATATGTAAATCACACCATTATGCTAAGGAGGGGACACAAAAGATTGATCTTAATATATAAATATATAAAGAGTAAAGGAAAAAAAAAAAAAACATTCGTATATGTATAAGATTAAAGAACAAAAAATTTAATGTGATTTCATAAAGAAAAGAAAGTCATACCTCCATTCATATAATATACAATATACCTTGCCATTGAAGGTGGGTTTGTAAATGAGCTCCAGCCACTAAATGTTGGTGACAGATGTTAGTAATGGTGATGCATACCACAGTCTTTCTCTACATGACTTCTACATGAGGATTGATTTTGATGATCTAAGAATTAGGTTTGAAAAGTGAATTTCATTAGGGTTTTGACGGCAAATTGAGGAAAAATGATGCAATTAGAAATTCAAACCTTGGGAGCTTTGTCACAAACCTTGTTCTAAACTTGACAAGATTTGAAACATAGAAAATAACAGAATAAGGAGCGTGGTGGCTGAAAGTGGTTTCGGAGGACTCAACTATATTTAGATCAAAACTTTGATTAGGAAAACTTTTTTGGTGATTCTTCAATACTTAATGAGAAATAGATTTTATTGATTTGGATTAAAAATGAGGCCTAAGGTTCCTAGAACTAATCCTTTTTATTAGTGGTTGATCTTATTAGTAATTAGGGTGTGACCCTTGTAACTCCGATATAATTTATGATTTTGACCCAAAAACTTAAAGATGATTTAATATATTTATTTATATATTTATAATTTTATTCTCTCAGCTTTTTCTTCAGTTTTGTAACTTTTATATAATTTATGATTTTCATCCTTTAAATTTAATGATAATTTACTATAATTTTTTATATATTTACAATTTTATCTTCTGACTTTTTCATCTACTTTCACCCTTTTATATTAATTTATTATTTATTATTAATATATTATTTGACTTCTTAAAATCAATAGTCAAGGTCCATGATGGAAAAAAGGGGAAGATTTGCATATAGAAAAGAAAAAGGATAAAAAGGGAAGGGAAAGAGAAATAAGATATTTGAGAAAGAAATTCTACTAAGTCTCATTCTCAAATGGAGTTGTTTCTAACTGCTTAATAATAAAACTAATATTTTATTAATAGACAAAAAAATATTTATATAAATAATTTTAATAATTTAAATATAAAATTTATAATCAAATATTCATTTATTTTTAAATATCTTTTACTAAGAATTTTTTTTAAATAAAACAACATCTAATAAATATCTCAAAATTACAAAATAAAGTTTAAAACATTGAATATAAAAATAATTTATTCAGACTGTCAGATGAGTTAAACACGTTTTTTTTCTTTAAAAAGTTATTATAATGAAAAAATATTATCGCAATTACCATAAATCATATTATTTTCATTAGTTTGTTTTTTACCAAAAGAAATTAACTGCTAATAAAAATATATTTTATTTAGTACATTCTTTTGTTTTAATTTATAATTAATTCATGAATTAATGCTTGATTTAGTGATGACCAATTCAGTACTTTGGTCAAAACCTTATTGCTTAAAAGGAAAATATGCACTTATATGATTTGATTTTAAAAATTGTTATAATACTTAGTTGTATGATTAAAATTTGGTAAATTAATTCTAACTTTGTGGGAGCTTTAGTCTTCTTATGTATGTACTTGGCTAAATTTTTTTTTTGAAGCATGTTTTAAGTATTTCTAAAGTTTCTTTCTAACTTTTCTTGTTTTAGTCTTGTTCAAATTTTTGTCTAAATTTGACTTTTAGTATAACTTCCTTGATTTTGTTCTTTTATTGTTTGTCTTAGGCTTCCTTAAAGTTTTGTCATTAGTAGTTGTCTTTATTGGAACTCTTAAGTGATTTGGTTGGTGTACATATTACCATTTGATTGCCAATTTCTAAGAAAAGTTTTTAATACCTTAAAGAGAATTTTGGAACACCTTAAAAAAAAAAAAGTTACTTGAAGGGTGGAGTGATCCTACCAATCAAACTTGTGTGAAGGTAAAACACTTGAGTGACTCATTTTAATTATCATCTAACCTTTAACTTTTAGTGTTTTTGTGTTAGTTCAACTGTTTTGCAAACATGTCTAATTTCTCATATGAAAAAAGCAAGCAACGTAGGTGCTTCAAATGAATGGAAAATGAAGGGCCCAATAGAGCAAACTCTGGTGAAGTTGATAAGAGAAATGATGTTGTCCTAGAAGGAGAGTGAGAGACATCTTAGGGAGACAATCCAGAGATTGGAGGTAAAAAAGTCCCAAAGGGAGAGGCAAAAGTCATTCTCACCAAGCTCCTAAGAAGAAGAGGAAAGGAGATACCATGGGAGGTGACACTCTAGGTGCACCAATACCCTAAGGAGAAACAACATTAAGATACTCAAGTTCTATGAAGACAATGACCTAGAAGTCTACTTGGACTGGGAGGCTAAAGTGGACCAGATGTTTAATGTAAACCCAGTAACGGACTAAGAACAAGTAGATTTAGTAATAGTAAAATTTGGGGATATGTCATGACTTGGTGGCAGAAGGTCTGTAATGATAATTACCAAGGGTCACCCACGACATCTTGGATGGACATTAAACATTTAATGCATGCTCGATTCGTTCCTTCCGTCTATAGGAGGGAGCTCTTGTTGAAGCTCCAACAGATTTAGTAGGGTAATATGTGTGTGAATGATTACTTCAAGGCATTAGAAAATTTGCTTTGCTACTTAAGGTCGGTATACATGATGAAACCAATGAGTCTAAAGTAGCTAAGTTTGTTAGTGGTCTTAGAAGAGACATCCAGAACTTAGTAGAATTATACGAATACTCCTCCATTAAAAACATTTTACATCTTGCCCTTAAAATTAAAATCAACTAAAAAGAAAGGATGGGGCTAAGAGGAGTTATTCGCATAATGACTACTATAGTTCCAATTGGAAGGGCAAAGGCAAGGAAAAAGAAAAATCATAGAGAAACCCTTCCAAATCTTTCCAAGTGGTGCCCTTAAGGGTAACTCTTCGAGGAACCCTACTCCTCACACCTCCATGCCTCAAAGGATTAATTCCATAAAATATTTTAAATGTCTTGGGTATGAGCACATTGCTTCAAACTGCCCTACCAAAGGACTATGATTTTGAGCGCAAGCGGAGATGTCAAGAGTAAGCATTCCTCTTCCCCCTCCTCCTCTAAAGAGAGTTCCTCTGAACACTCTTCCTCAATCGATGATGAGATCAAGCCTTATGAAGGCCATATGTTAATAGTAAGATGGATGTTGGGACAAGTCTAAAAGGACCTTGACACTACTCAAAGAGAAAATATTTTTCATATTTGTTGCCTTATTAATGACAGATTGTGTTCACTCATCATCGACATGAAAAGTTGTATGAATGTTGCTAGTACGAGGGTAGTAGACAAGCTTAGGTTGCCCACTACTCCTCATGCCAAACCTAATAAAGTTTCCTGACTTAGTGAGGAAGGTGAGATAGAGGTCAATAAACAAGTCCTCATTAACTTTTGTAATTGGGAACTACAAGGATGAAATTTTTTGTGATGTTGTACCAATGGAAGTGTCAGCACCCAATTTCGTCCGGGTAGATAAAAAATAAAATAATAATAATAATAAATAGTAGCATTTGTTTTGAAAAAAAAAAAGATAAAAAAGGTAGTTCCATTTTCCTAATACTTTAAAATTCAAAAAAAGAGAAAAAAGAAAATATATGATTAAAAACAATATATATTAACATCTTATACTTTCAAGAAAAAAGAAGAAAAAAAATAAAATTTCTTTCTTAACCGTTTCCATTTCCTAAATAAAATAAAAATATATTACTTTTATTAGTGTATTCCTTTTAAATAAATGAAAAAAAAAAGATAATTATTTTTATCAATTTTTAATGAAAACATAATATAAAAGTGAGATTAGGTTTATTTTGTTTAAGGCCCAGCCCATGAGATGCTTTTAACCTAAATGTTAAGCTTAAATGGAGGGGCACGACACCAAGAAAAGGGGCCAGTCACCACTCACCTTTCAGGGACCATTTTTCTTCTCCTTTACCTTCATCCTCCACTACCCCCATTCGGATCTCACTCACCCAACATTCCCTTCTTCTTCACCCAGCCCTGCGACTCATTCACTTCATCTCTTCCCTTCATTTCACTCTACGCCCCTCCCTCACCATCATCGTGCCACACTACCTCTCACTGGCTTCAACCACCACTTCGTCGCAAGCCACTCTTCTCCTTGCAACACCACCATCCAACTTCCTTCTCCTCTTCTCACCTTCATTCCCAAAATCCCTTCGCCTTCCTCGTCGGCCACAACCCTAGATCCGCGCGACGCAACCCCCATTCCACTCTCCCTCACCGACCACCAAGCTTTCCCATTTCACCCTAATTTGGTCGCTCCTCCCTGAAAGCAACAAGGAGGAGATTGATGGTAATATAAAATATGTCCCTACATTCTCAAGAAATGATTTTGATGATGATTCAAGTCAACAACATTCAAGAATCAAGCAAGCTCAATATATGATTTTGATAAATATTCTATTCAAGATTCAAGCAAGCTCAAGATGATTCCTGAAGACTATATAGAATCTTAAAACACTGAATATGGAGGTACAAGTTGATGAAGTAATATTATGCATAAGCCTCCAAAGCACAAGTGTGATAAAATTTTGTAACATGACATTTTCACTGTCATAATTGATTATGATGCATCAGAATTGAGAAATTGATTTTTAAGCTGACAAAATCGATTATGCTGAGGAGATAATCAATTATAGCAATTCGAAATTCAAAAATATATCTGTTTTGAAGAATAAATATTTTTTAATATATCCAGATTTTTATCCACGAAAATATTAATGTTCAACGACTATTTTCTAATGTTATTTTTCTATTTAATTAAGTTTTGATGAAAAAAAAAACACAATTACAGAATTTGAAAATACAATTTACATTCAATAAGTTTTGAGAAAAAAATTCTGAGCAAGGTAACGAGTACTTTTAGGTTTTCTAAGTGTTGAATATAGAGAAAATAGGGTTTGGAATTAATTTCCTCGTGTATAAATCACACATAAGGTGGTCTATTTATAGTAGAGAGATACAACTAAAAGATTTACTTGAAAGTAACAGAATAAACGAAGATATTGTTTGATATTGTGGTTACCAATATCTAACAATATCTTAATAATATCAAATAATATCTAACACTTCCCCTCAAGCTGGAGCATACAAATCGTATGTGTCAAGCTTGTTACAAATATAATCAATTCTAGGACCCCGTAAAGATTTAGTAAAAATATCTGCTAACTGATCACTTGGGTTAACAAACTCAGTCTTGATATCTCCAGACATAATCTTTTCTCAAATAAAATGACAGTCAATCTCAATGTGTTTGGTCCTCTCATGAAAGACCGGATTAGAACTAATATGAAGAGCAGCCTGATTGTCACACACAAGTGTCATTTGAGTGACATCTCCAAATTGTAACTCTCTAAGCAATTGTTTGAGCCAAACAAGTTCATAGGAAGCTGAGGCCATAACTCTATATTCTACTTCTGCACTGGATCTTGCCACAACACTTTGTTTTTTTCATGAGATCAAGTTACCACCAATGGAGACACAATATCCAGATGTAGATCTTCTATCCGAAGGAGATCCTGCCCAATCAGCATCTGAGTAGCAAACAACTCTTGTATGGTTATTAGAACCATATAATAATCCTTTTCCAGGAGATCCTTTAATATACTTCAAGATACGAATGACTGCATTCGAATGATCTTCACATGGTGAATTAAGAAATTGACTTACCACACTGACTGCAAAGGAAATGTCAGGACGAGTAACTGTAAGATAATTCAATTTTCTAACCAATCTTCTATACTGCTCAGGATCAGATATAGGCTCCCCCTGATTTGGTAGAAGTTTAGTATTGGGATCCATGGGTGTATCAACAGACTTTGAACTCATCAACCCAGTTTCCTCCAAAATATCTATGGCATACTTCCTCTGAGATATAACAATAACATCATTGGACTGTGCCACCTAAATACCCAAGAAATATCTAAGTTTGCCAAGATCTTTGGTCTGAAAATGGTGACAGAGATGTTGTTTCAACTGAGAGATGTCATGGTTGTCACTACCTGTAAGAACGATGTCATCAACATATACTATCAAGTAAACACATCCAGCACTCGAGTGTCGATAAAAGACAGAATGATCTGATTTACACCGAGTCATACCAAATTGTTGAACAACCTTGCTAAACTTTCCAAACCAAGCCCTAGGAGACTGTTTTAGGCCATATAGGGATTTGCAAAGACGACATACCATCCCAGAAGACTCCCCCTGAGCAACAAACCCAGGAGGTTGCTCCATATATATTTCTTCTTGCAAATCACCATTGAGGAAAACATTTTTAACATCCAATTGATAAAGAGGCCATTGTTGAAGAGCAGCCATGGTGATAAATAAACGAACAAAAACCATCTTTGCCACAAGGGAAAATGTATCTCCATAATCCAACCACAAGACGAGCTTTGAGGCGATCAATAGTACCATCAGGTCCAACTTTGATAGCAAACACCCACCTGCAACCAACAATAGATTTTCTAGACGGTAACGAGACCAATTCCCAAGTTCCACTATTATGAAGAGCACTTAGTTCATCTAACATGGCCTGACGCTAACCAGGATGGGCTAAAGCTTCACAGACAGTTTTTGGAATGGTCACAGAAGAAATAGAGGAAAGACATGTATAAAAAGGTAATGACAGTCGATGATAACTCAAAGCAATATAATGGGGAGAGGGATTATGTGTAGAACGAATACCTTTTCGGAGGGCAATGGGAAGGTCGACTCATGTGTCGATCCGGAGGAGACAGAGTAGTTGGCACTTGAGTAGAGTCACGTGGTGGTGGTTGTGATTGGTTTCGAGAACTATAAATCGAAGAGGCAGTGGAGAAGAAGCTAATCGCGGAGCGAGAACTAATGGTGAAGAAGACACAGTTAGAGGGTCACAAACAACAGGAACATTAAATGTATTAGGAGTGTTGACAAGATTGGATGGAGACAGAGGTGAAGTTTGACTTTTAAAATAAAGAGACAACTCATCAAAGGTGACATCTTTTGACACAAAATAACGGTTAAGAGAAGGAGAAAAACATTTGTATCCTTTTTGTGATCTTGTAAACCCTAAGAAAACACATTTATGTGATCTAGGAGAAAGTTTGTCAAGACCAGAACTGAAATTATGAACAAAACATGTAGACCCGAAAACTTTCAGAGGTAAAGGATGAAGTGGTTCATGAGGGAATAAAATGGAATGAGGTATTTTATTATCTAAAATCGAAGAAGGCATGCGATTAATAAGATAACATGCAGTAAGAAGAGCATCACCCCAAAAATGTTGAGGAACATCTCCATGAATTAAAAGTGTGCGAGTTGTTTCAATAAGATGTCTATTTTTACGTTCAGCTACACCATTTTGTTGAGGTGTATAAACACAAGAAGTTTGATGCAAAATACCGTGAGAAGCCATGAATTGTTTAAAAGAATGAGAAAGATATTCACGGCAATTATCACTACGCAAAACTCTAATAGAAACACCGAACTGAGTGTGAATTTCATTAAAAAATGTTTGAAAGATATGAAATAATTCAGAATGATTTTTCATCAAAAATAACCAAGTGCATCTGGAATAATCATCAATGAAAGTAACAAAGTATTGAAAACCTAAAGTAGACTTAACGCGACTAGGTCCCCAAATGTCAGAGTGAACCACGGCAAAAGGGGACGAAGCACCACATGTGAAACTACGAGAAAAGGAAGTACAACTATGCTTGCCTAATTGAGATGACTCACACGCCAAACTAGATAAGTTGGACAAGGCAGGGACAAGTTTCTGTAACTTGGCAAGAATTGGATGACCTAACTGAGCATGAAGAAGAGAGGGAGACTCCATAACTGTACTAACATGTGTAGAGGGACGGAGATAATAAAGACCATGAGACTCACATCCTATGCTAATCACCTGTTTCGAACTCCGGTCCTGTAAACACACAAAATTGTTGGTAAAAGTAACAACACAATCAAGAGAACGAGTTAGACGACTGATGGACAACAGGTTAAAAGGAGACCCAGGGACATAAAGAACATTATCAATGGTTAAAGAAGGAAAAAGTTTAACCGTTCCAACACCATGAGATGATACTCTAGAGCCATCAACCAGGTGTAACGAAGGTAAATGATTAGGAGAGGATAAAGAGGAGAACAAAGATTTGTTACCGATAATATGATCAGTGGCTCCCGAATCAAAAACCCAAGGACCAGGAGAAAATGATTGGGTCGGATCAACAAAATATGTATTTGTATGTGTGACGGTATAGTGAAACTAGAAGACTGTTGATCCTTATACCATTCAAGAAATTTGTTGAACATAGCAGATATGTCGGATGCAACAGAAGAAGGAAGATCCCCTACAGATAAAGGTGGGGAAAGATTGTTCTGAACAACTACAGCAGATTGAGGAGGACGACCATGTAATGTATAACACTTGTTAATCTTGTGACCTAGCTTGCCACAATGTTCACACTTAGGACGCCCTTTTTCCTGTTTGCGAGGGCGAGCCCGGTCATCACGATGGGATGTCAACACAAAAGAATCGTTAACAAAATTGGAAATAGTGACAGCACGTGAACTAGTACACCAGGTAAGTTCCCAGGAAAGAGAGGTGGGTCACTAATGGACACACTTAAATACCAAGTCTTTCCTTGCCAGAACTTTCCTAAACATGCACTTTCACACTACCAAATAAAATTCAGTGACAAAGATAATTCTTTTCTGATGTGGAGGATTAGTTTACCAGCAGCGGTGGGGCGGCTCTAGCAGCGGTGGGGCGGCTCTAACAGTGGACAAAAGGCGGAAAAAAATTCAAGATAACCTTAAGCTCTAGATACCATGTTAAGGTTCCAACATAAAACCAATTGGCAATATGTGGAGTAGCCTAACATGTATTTAAACCATACCAAATGACATGAGGTAGGCGATGTGGGACTTTCAACACACCACCTCTAACGAAGCCTGCCGGACCAGGCAAAGGGTACTTTTGACCCAACTAAAGGGCAACTTTTGGGTCACTTTGGGTCTGATACCATGTTGAATATAGAGAAAATAGGGTTTGGAATTAATTTCCCTTGTGTATAAATCACACATAGGGTGGTCTATTTATAGTAGAGAGATACAACTAAAAGAGTAACTGAAAGTAACAGAATAAACATAAGATATTGTTTGATATTGTGGTTACCAATATCTAACAATATCTTAACAATATCAAATAATATCTAAACAATATCTAACACTAAGAAAACTTTTCTATACTGCCTTCTACGCTTTCATTGTTAATCACACTATG